TACAGTATTTTTATAGTCTTTATTTTACAGTTAAAATATATGTTTATTAAATAAAGTCTAATGTTACAAGTAATCATGGATCCCTTTAAGGCAGACCTCCTTAACACGTCTGATGATGAAGGCCTCTGCAGCCACATCAAAGCTCTCTCCCCTCTCCTTTATATTTTCTACCTTCTGGGCAGATCGCTGATGGACAGAAGGAGACGCCATAACAGCATCTCTGGTGAAAAGAGGGGAATCTCCTGGAAAAGAAGTCAGTCACTTCTTTTCATGATTTAACTACCATTGTCTACAGAGCATAATGTGAGCAATCCTTCCATCCAACATGTACGGTCACATGAGATGAGCAAGCCGTCTGCAGCAGCCTTAATCACTGATTTAACAGTGGCTGAAACAAGAGAAGAAGCCGTGCTTTGCGATGCCAGCTGCACCTCTGGGTCTGGCTGCTCCTCCAGCTTCGCCGTCACCCTCGCTAATCTGTCTGGATCTCCCCAAAGCACAAACTCAAACATCGGCTCTGAAGAGCAAAGCGGCGCTGCTCCATCATGATCAATCAGCAACACGAGATCCACAGAGAACTATTGTTGATTGTTTTGCTACGAAAAGGCCAACTGAGAACGCAGCTTTGAAAGACTTGTTCAGGAAGATAAATCATTGTGGTTTGGAGCACTAGTGCCCCGAGCATCTATTTAGCATCAGCACAAGGGTGATAACTTGGGAGAGAAACTAAATATCACGCACGAGAGGCTTGTATTCGCTTTGATGGGAAAAAAATACTGCTAGAGACTCTTTCTCTTGATGGATGGAAAACAAACTGTTGTTGGGAGAGATAAAGTCACACCACAACCTTTGTCCTGAAAAAAATGTTCACAAAGAACGGCTGAATGAAAACAAGTGAAGCTAAAAACACACGGAGAAATGGTAAAAAAAAAAAAACTGACAGACAGAAAACTTGGCTGTGAAAGATCCTAATATCTTAAAAACCAGAAAGCTGTACAGCCATGCCACTTATAGCACTGTTCAACTTCTAACATGTTCCCCCCACTGGCAGGTGGCAGGGAAAAAAATTCCCAGCCTTTGATGCTCCGTTAACACACTCAGGAAAGAGATTACTACACCTAATGGAGGCATTAAAAGGGGCCTGTCAGAGGGAACTCTGACAAGTCACAGCAGCAGGTGTGGGGCTGAATGAAACATAACCCTGCGATGCGCCATTGCAACACGCAGCCCACCGCAGGGCCCAGATTAAGCTACGTGCCCTGACCACAGGACAACATAACTCAATTCAGGTTAATAGGAGCAGGATTCCCGACATCTGTCTGACCTGAAGAAAAAGGAGTTATGAGAGGGTGGGGCGCCTGGTCGGGGTGAGGAAACAAGGGTACAGACTGTCAAGGCTATGAAAAACATGGGGAATCCCCAGGCTCAGGCTTCAAAGTTCCTGGTTGGGGTTTAGATGTGGTGGATGACGAGTGGATTTCCAGTACACGATACTTAGCACAGGTCAAACATTAAAAGATCCTGCCAACTGGGCGCACAAATCTGTAGATCTGTTGGATTAATGAAGGCTGAGTGGGTGTGGAGGTTAGATCAAAAGGCTTAAAACAAGAAAAATACTCTGATTTGATTTCATGGAATCACAGGGAAAGCTTACAACTCGATGCTGTTCAAGTAACTGAAAACCCATTACTGAACTCAGACAACACTGGAAAGATGAAAACTCGTGCCTCCTATCAAACTGAGTCAACTTTATCCTGAGCTTCAGATCAAACTGATCCTGTTGCTTACCTCGGATGATCAACCATAACTAATGTTTGACTTGTTTTAGTACATTGCTCCTTGGTTTTTCTAGCCAGAACAGCCAAAATGATCAATCATGGTGAAAAGCCTACTAACTTTTTACATGTGTCAGATGGTATTAGATGTATTAATTAGCATATTTACAACTCCTAAATTGTTGGACTATTTTCTCACGCTGTTGTTCACAAAGTGGTGAACCTCGCCCTATCATTGCTTGTGAACGGCTGAGCCTTTCAGGGAAACTCACTTTATACCCCAATCATGACACACTTTTTCCAGCTAACCTGTTCACCTGAGGAATGCTCCAAACAGGTGTTTTATTTTAGTATTTCTCAACTTTCCAAGTCTTTTGTTGGCCTGTCCCAGCTTTTGTGTAGGCATCAAATTCCAAATAAGTGAATATTTGAAAAAAGAAATCCCATTTGTACATTAAAAATGTTTTTGTAGTGTATTCCAGTGGTTCCCAACCTATTTAGACTTGTGTACCCCCGGAGCCATTGGTACCCCCTCAGTCAAATGTGATGATTCTCCAAAACTATAATGCACAACAACTGATTATTAAATTAAAATGATTTATTTAACCCCCAGAACATTTAATTCTCAGGCATTCTATTCTTTTAAACTCAAATTAAACATAAAAACAAAGATGTTGCCTTGAAAGTGAATAAGTAATTAAATAAACAAACCAGGTAATGGCAGGTGCAGAAAACAGCAGCGTCAAAAATACATCAGAAACTCGCCCAAATAAGCAAATTCTGTGAGATTTCACGTTTTATACAGGATTCCATTTTGTGTTAGTTCTGTGATTTAATCTGCATTTTCCGCATTGTGAAAATCATAGGGCCCTACGTATGTCAGTCCTATATTTATTTATTCTTTTACACACCTGGGAAATTTTTCCATGTACCCCCTGTAAAATGCTCGCGTACCCCAGTGGGTACACATTCCCCTGGCTGGGAATCACTGGTGTATTCCATTGTGTATAGGTTGAAAAGGATTTGTAAATAATCGTATTCTGTTTTAATTTATGTTCTACACAACATCCCAACTACACTGGAAATGGTGTAGTAATGACTATAAACAGAGATGCGTTCAGGCGCCTAGGAGGCCACAACTTAAATCTTTCAGAGCAGATTCTGGGAATAAAACCCGTGAAAACCAGATATTTATTTCCCCCCAGCACCATCTGTTTGCGACCAGAAAACCACAGCATGATAAAGAAAAGGCTGCAACAAGGCTTCCTTTTCACCATCCTGTGAAAATGCAACAAAAAACAGTGGTCAGAGTCACTACAGCCTGTTCCTGACTGTGCAGAGGGGAGTAGCGATTTAAAACTCCATTTAGGCTCCTGTTTACCTAAGAGATGAGCCCCAAAACACAGTCATTCAACCGCTCACCCCTTTATCTGGTCATGAATATTCCCATAATCCTCTCTACCCTCTATCCCAGAGGCCCCTTTTTTAAAATGCTTGGTGATGTGTGGGTTGCCGAGGGTGGAGGAAAAAAAAAGAGAGAAGCCTTTTCCTCAAATCCTTTCTTTTAAGGCCTTCTCTCTGCTGATCTCCACATGAAATGATATCTCATTCATTGACGCTCTGTAAAGGTTCCTAAGCCTGCTGCGGCCGAAGCGCTGGCAGGAGGAGGACTGAGCCCGAAGGCCTTTAA